CCTGCTAACATGTGGATAGACTGGCCAAGACCCAGTTACTTATCCCTTCATTATGGCACCTGTGGTAGACAAGCACCGAGATCTTTCTGAGGGAGGCAGTGTGTGGTATGTACAACCTGCCTCTAGCTCTATGATGAGGATTTTTGCACTAACGCAGGTAAAATGCTTGACATGTGGGCATCTGACCCAGGCTTCAGACTCATTTTCAGCAAGAATTGTGCACGAGGGAAGCCTGGAGTACACGTAAAAAATAGTGTGCATAAAATGTGTCCCAAATGTCAAATTCTGGTGCTGTGTTTTCTTACTATTTTTCTTCCTGCTCCAAAATGCCAACATAAAAATAATTTATGTTATTTAATTTCCATATTTAAGGAATGGAGTATTTTCTTTCTGGAAAACAGGCCATAGGAACACCACTCTGGGCTTGAGTAACAAATAAGAAAACAAACAAAAATGTATATTTAAAAAATATGAAAACCTATTAATTGAGACTTAACATTACGTTGTCTTCACCTAGTGGTGGTAAGTAGTGGTGACATACCCACACATGGGAATGCAGGATGGGGTTGGGAGTGTAGTCTGCTGTGAGCTAGAATTACTTTTGTGGAAAGACGGGATGATTCCATTAACTCTAGGCTTTGACTAATAACATAGCAAGCTCAGATAAAGAGCCTGTCACTGTCAACACCATGCCCACACTTTGAAAAATTTCTGTTATCACTTTGAAAACATGCCTGCCTCCTGAGTCCATTTATTTCCTTGCAGCTTTCTTATTCCTTAGAACTCTGGTCTCCGTTAACCCATACCGACCTGGTCAGTGTGACCAATTTTGGACAAACTACACAGCCTCCAAATTTGCTAAAGTTTTCCCCCAACTGAAATTTCCTATTTCATTGCCGGCTCATGGATTGATGTTTTGCTGCCAGGTCCTTGCGGTAAAATGAGAGGTGAATGCTCAACCAAGGAAGCCTGTATCACTCTCCACACCTTTCCCTGTTGTTTGTCAAGTTCTCCTTTGCCAGTTCTTCTTTCTCCCACCCCCTTTACTGTACGCCAACACATACCAGCTGTTCAAGTGTGGAAATAAACTATACTATGGTGGATGTAAATTTTGGGGTACAGAATATCTACA